TTCGGTCCCCGTGCTCTCCGCAGCCTTCATCCAGACCGTCCTCGGCGGACCCGATCCATCGGCGGACGAAGCAGAGCGAGCAGTGGAGGCGAAAATGAAGAAAAGAGTCGCCAGATAAGAACCAAACCCGGTTGGAATCATCTCAGTGGTATTGTCGGGGCGAGGCTTTTAAAATGCAAGGGAAGGCGAGTTGCATGATCCATAGTTACAGCAAAAACCTAGACACAGGTGGAACAGGTGGAATCGTGATGCACCATGGTGGATTCTGTTGGCTGGGCTTGAGGTTTCCGCATACTTCAGACTCGTCCTACAAGAAGTCCTGAGATGTTCTTAATTGAAGCCAAAATCAATGCGAAGAAAAGACGAGTGCCTGAGTGCCTCATCATGAAAAGCATCAAGTCGCTTCATCTCTTGGCTGCATCAAATCGCTTGGTTTGGGCCCTCACATGTCATATATCTCTAAATGGATCTAAATGGCATGAATTACTGTGCCACAATTTATCCATGCCATGTGAAACTTATGCATATAAACATAAGTAAAAATACATTATCATTATTATGTACAGTAGAAAGAGAACGACAACGACTATGGTGATGATAGCGAACGGTTGTAGACAAAGGGAAGAATGCAGCCCAGAACAACTTAGATCCTGACCTCCAGTCCCTCGCGCAGGCCTCGGCATGAAAATAAGGTTGCACGTTTCACCAATATTGCCAAGCCCCACGTGCATGGTCAGAAGAGGGAGTTCCCTCAATAGACATGGAAGATCATGGAAGGGTGTAACATAGCAACCACCTTTAATGTAGAGGATGCGTTCACCTTCCATATCCCTTGCTTTCTGCATCGCTTTGGGCCCAAAACCAAGTGCCTTCGATCACAAAACATGTTCATAGCGCCTAAGATGTGCCTGTTGCCTGTTGCCTTATTTTTGCCTTCTTGGGGGGCGTCAAAACAAGCTCCAAAGACAGACCTCAGCACACCGCCCACACGAAACACGCGGAAATCCCATCTGTTTCACGACTGAAAATATTCGCCTGACGCTTCGCCCGGAGCAGGTTCCTGGAGAGCACAGGAGAGTTTGGTCACTCGCCTTGGGTTCCACAGAAATCGAAATCATAGACTCAACCAAATACCAGCTTCGATTATGGGAATCTTTGACCCGGATTCTTTGGCAACAGACGTTTGAACCCCTTTTAAAGTGCAGCTCGTGCGAAAGAGGGCGTTCTCTTGCTTCTGAAAAAAGGGACGAGAGACAATTGGAGCTGAAAGCATGAATTGAATGGTCTAAGGCTGGTATGATTGATGGTGCTTTTCCTAGGCCGGTCCCAACCATGAAGTATAACAGTAGTAATGAGTACCCCCCACAGCTCGAGCTCCTGCTAAACCGCAGGTGTCGGGGAAGGGATTGCCCTTCTGAAAACTGGAATGGACATGTGGAAGTCTACTTTCCTTTGCTGATGGGCTTCTATCGTAGTCTGTGGTCTACTCTTGCTCTTTGCCCTGTGCACCATGCTAAGCCCGCCTTGCTAAACAGCTTCGCACCTGTCTGTTCTACTCTGTAGGCGCAATGTCATCTGTATTTTTGCTGTATCAACAAACTTACAATTGCCTGGATTGGATGCTCTTCCCTGCTTGCTCTCGCCTGTTACCACCACCAACCAAAAGAGCAAAAAAAAGTCATCTGAGAATCCCATGCGCCTCGCATTCCGCAGAAGAACCCCCTTCCCATTTTTAATTTTCACTGCCATAGCCACTTTCGGCGATACCTTTAGTGGCCGCCGTTTGCCCTCAACCTATTGTGATTAAAAATGCTGCGTGCAAAGGGAAATTGATGAACTTCAAAAAATATACCGGGGGAAGTGACATGTGTCACCGGGTCGTGCTTGGTGAGGAACGAAGAATAGAAGGAACATACCGTACAACTGTACGTTCCTGTGTGCTTTTTCTGCACAAATTAGGGAGGTGCTCATAGTACCCGCTTCCCATGTCATGGCGAGGAACCACCGGCGAGGAATCACCGGCGGGACGGGACGGGACCGGCTCCGCAGCGAGTTACGAAGTCTTCGGCCTCCAAAAGGCGATAGGCATAGGAACAACCTCAAGAAGGCGACAGGTGACAGGAATCTGGGAGGACATGAAGACCCTGTCAGCATTGCTCTGAGCTTCCAACTTGTGCAAACGAAAAGAATTGTGTGTCGAACATCTTCCCCAAGCCCAAGCCTCCAAAAAAGTCATTGGATGTCCGAATCAGATTGCTCATCTATGAAGCTTCAGCGTCCCGAACAATGACCTTGGGCCCATTGGGGAGGGGCAATGACATGCTACTCTGACTCCACCTTTAGAATCGGTCGACGAATTGGAGCATGTCCACCCCCGTTGGGGGGCCCAGCTGGCGGCTTGCTCGAAGCTTGGCCAGGTCCCAGCTTGGCAGGCCTCGCTGTGGCTTGGTTCTACGGCTCTCCTTGAAGGTTGGTTGCATGCGAACTCACCGAAATGTCCCAAAGAGCACGAGCAAAGAGGAGTGCTTACCCAGCAGTATGGCGACGATATCATATCATACACAGAGAAGAAAAGAGCAATCTATAGTATGGTTGTATATGATTGTCAGTTGCACCATGCTCTGAAAAGAAGTCGAACCCTGGAAAACCCTCTCATCTGGCCATAAGAGAAACGCTGATGAACAGTCCATCCTGATCCCGACACCTTAGGAGGAGTCCCCTGCAAAGAGTCCAGCTGACTCTTCGGACCTTTTGAACCCTCAGCCAGACCACACCGTCCGACCCCTCCGCGCGCGTTAGACGCGCTCGCCTCAGTCACCTGCGCCACATCCGCAACGCTGGTGATGGCACAAACATGTGCTTGCCTCGGTTGATGCTTCTACAACAGCATCACAGTATGAAGTCGATTTCGCCTCACCTGCACCACCTGGGTGCTTGTCCCAGAAAGGGTTGGCTAATGGTGGGAGACTCCCTAGAGTGTCCCCCCTCTGACATCCTCTGACCTCGGTCTCTTCGAAGCTCCCAACACACATCCCGAGCGCGGTGCAGTGAGCCGCCACGCACCTGCAGGACAGTGGTGTGGACGAGGAAGCGATGGATGCGACGAGGAAGCCAACGGATGTCAACTCAGACATGGCTGTGTATTTCCATAGGGAGATCCCGCACTGATATCATTGCCCCTGGCTGCGTCGACTGGTCGCTGGTCGACAAAAAGAGGTCGTTGCCTGGGGATGGGGGTGGGAGGGGGTCTCTGTGGCTTTTGGACCACACGAGTTGGCACCGGACCACAGTTGGGTGTCTATTGACCACCCTTGGTGGGTTCTGGGGACAAGGCCGGCTCTCAGGAAAAACATGGTCTAACATGCTTCTCTCTCTCTCTCTCTCTGTCTCCTTGAGGCTTCCCCTAAAAGCAAGCAAAAAGCCCCAAAGTCGGTCGGTATGTGAGTCACTCTGCACCTCCCAGATCTGGTCACATCTGGCCACCCTGTCATTTATGTGGAGCCACCGGTGGAGAGGAGGTTCCCGGGTCTCTCGACCCGTTCAAGCACCGGGGGTTAGGGTGCCTCTCGCCGAAGCCCTGAGGTCAAGCTCTGCAGGGCCTCAGAGGGGAGTGCTGACCGGTATAGAATTAGGTCATTCCACCATCCTGTGTAGTCATTGTAGGATGCCAAAAGCAATGGGTCTTAGCGGAAATCTGTCTGCTGGGTATTGTTAGATGGTTCTCAGGTCGAGGAGGGTTCACAAGTCTTCCGGAAAACGACATGCCACGATTTAAAGCCATAAGAAAAGAACCATGGTCAATCTCACATCCTATGCCGCCTCGTGCAAAAAGAAAAGAACTCCAACAAGTACCTGGTCTTTGACCCTCCAACCGAGCTGTGGACCACACTCCAACCACAAGTTCCAAATGAATTTCATGCAGAGACTCCAGAGACTCCACCTCACGCGGCCATCCGACACCACCCGTAGCTCCGGGCTGAACGATCGTCGCTCGTGGGGGCTTCAGCCTCGGTCGAGCGCCGAGGGAGCGTCACCCAGAGGGGAAACAGACGAGCCATGTGGAACACCGATCTATCCAAAAGCTACGAAAACGCGAATGGAACGACTCCAAAAACAGTGAAAGAAGCATGCATGTGGCAAACCTATCACTCCCAGGCATGCATGGGCATACATGGGCATACTATTGTCAAGCTTGGAGGTCTTCTGGCTTGGGAGATCCATCACAGGTGCCCCAGAATCTCACTGATGTCACTGCTGCGCTGCTGGGCCATCTCACAAGGGCAACCCTTTTCTGCTCACAAACTGACAAAGACCACACCCAACTCCCCCACCATCTTTCAACTCAGCTCTGGGCCATCAGCTTTGCCAAAGTGTTCTGAAGACTCCATCTTTAGAAGTCTATCCGTTTGGTGAAGGGCTTTGGTGTAGACTGGCGAAGAAGCTAACACAGCCCATCTCAGGGACGAGAGAATTGATATATCTATCATCGGGGGGCCTCGCATGGCCTGCGCTCCTTCTCCAAAGTCACGAAGCTACATGCTTAGGCCATTTGTCAAAATGTGTTCAGTGCGAACCCGCGATAAGCGGCTGGGCTCTCGCTTGCTACTACACAGTGTTGTGACTGGGGTCTTGCATTGAGTTCTCGCGATAGATTCAGTTTGCTGATAGTGCATGGATGGTCGGCAATATTCCCACGGTCAACTTGCTTCTGCCCGGAATCGTCAAAGAGGGTGAAATCTGCGGTGGAAGAAACAGTCACAGTTCAACACAATCTGATGTGGCCTCTTATATAAAGGACTTGACATCGTGCACCACCATCACTCTAGCATCGGCTCTCTTGAAGTCCACTCGATCCGGTGTCTTTTTGGTGGTGCAGGAGTCTTTTCTTTCAGCAATATACCCATCGGTTCCCTAGAGACAACAGCAATAAGCAGTGTGGACTCTCGGAAGCTTTCAACATGGCCACATCCCAACAACTAACAACCCGCAGGCAGCTCCATTTGATCTCGCCGACAGCAATCGACCAAGTCAGTGGATCAAAGGAACACCACAGGATCACCCGAGCGCTATCGCTCGGATCATTGACACGCCCGCGCACTGCCGGGCGAGAAACAATAAACATGGACGTGCCGCTTGCCTTCTCCAGCAAAGAATTGATTTGGCAAGTAACCTTGAGGTTTATCTCTAAGGAACGCTATGCCCATCTGACCAATTTGGCCACATGATGTCACATGTGACCGTGTGGCGAAAGGAAGAAAAGGAAAGCGGGGTTCACCACCCCGGCTTCGGCTTGGTCCGTTTCTCAGGTCCACCGTCCGTTTCTCAGGTGGATGCGCAAGAAAGCGGCAGAGTGAGCATCTCAGGCCTGGGAGAAAGGGAAAATGGTGGAAGTCCATGGTTTTTGATGTCAGTTTGTTCATCGGATCATGAGAATTCTATGAGAAATCAGAATGTTCTGGCAGGACATCTACGGGAGAAAACCTCGTCTTTTTGTTTGAGGCACAAGGGACTTCTTCTGTAGGTGTTCCTGTGAAAAAAAACACGTGAATGATCAGAACGGATCAGAAATGAGAAAAAAAAACACCGCAAATGCTTCTCTTTTCAGAGTACTTCACTGGATGAGGAGAAACGTCATTGGATGGTCGCGCACCCGCACTCGTGGCTACCAATGTGGCAAGAGAACATCATCTGGGTGTGTAGCTCATTTCTAGGGAGACCGACCCCCGGCAACGCCCTTCTGGAAGGCTCGGGAAATAGATCAGTCTACCCAGCCATGGCCAGGGGGTCTTCCCCCCATCAAAAAGCTAGGAGCCTTTGCCTTTGAAGGGTCTATCATTTGGTAGGATTGTCGGGTGTTTCCTGAAAGGATATGGCATGGACATGTCCGATCCCCACCACATCCAGCTCATGATCTGCTCGTTCAGAACTGAAGAATACTGCTGAGATCTGCGGTTTGGCCGCTTTTTTCTTCAAACTGCTCGGATCCAACGGCTGGAGAGAACTGCGGTCCCGCTGCGCTGCTTTGCAGCAGTCCCTGCGGCGGTGGAAAGGCGTGTTCTTTGAATCCGGAGAAGGTTCAGTCAGGATGGCCTCCGAACCTACTAGCGATGGCCTCCAACCTACTAGGGGCTACTCATTCCCAGGAATCCCATGTTCAAATGGCTTTGGCTCAAGAATCGGGCTCCATGAGAAAAACCCCTCGCAAGGGAATAAGAGACACCAAAGTTTGCAGATCCATGGGTCTATCTTTTGTGTGGGGCCCTTAGCTGTTGACACCTTTGATATTCACTCACCGGGTGTCACACTCACAACACAATCCCTAACATGCACTTCTGAACCATCTGTCTGGGTTCCTACACTTGAGAACATCCATCTGGAAAGAATGTTGAACTGGAAATTCAAGCAACAACTACTACCCTACCAGGAGGAAGGATTGACCCGTCGAAGGCCTGGGTTTTTGATGCCCCTTCACTGCTGGGACGCTTGTGACGCCTCCGATCAGCCTTGGCTCACCAATATTGGGCGATGGTGCCCAATGTCAAGACAATTGGGTTTTAGAGGCAATTGCTCGTAATCGCAAAATATCAAGATACTTGCAAAACCTTCTTTGGTATGCCTCTTCCAACAAAGATAAACCACCAATCTTTGGTGCGTCAAGTAGCCTTTCCTGAACGGGAACTCCTGCAGCTCAAAGGAACACTGGGCAATCTTAGGATGTGAAAATTACCTCACGGTGAATACACCTCTCTCCTTCCGAACCACAACCAGCTTGGCGCTGTCCCTCCCTAAAAAAGCACTCCCCTTCCTGGGACCGAAAAAATATAAAATAGATCTTTAAAAAAACACACACCCACCGAGTCGTGGGAGTCCTCCGAGTCGTTGCGAGGCCTTGCGCAGGTGTTGAAGCGTAACCGTTAGACCTTTCGTCTTTAGACGAACTCCTTCCACCTCGCCTGGAGGACATCAGACCTTCTCGGCTTCCATCGCTTCGGAGTCCTCATCCAGGCTGGAGCTTTCACGGCGAAGCTCCTCGCGGGTCCCTGCGGTGTCTTCTTTTTGCAGTTCGGCGCCGAGGCATGGTGAATTCATTTAGAAACTTCGTGGAGAGTGGAGGACAATGAAACATCTCTCGACTGCAGACCTCTGTTAGACCTCTGCACAGGCCAACCAGAAATGACCCAAGTCGAAGGGTTTACAAAGGCAAGGAGACCTGGCGCCCTGGTGTCACCTTCTTCAAGCATCACTGGTTATGTCCTGTCTTTAGAAAGTCTGCTAGAGCACTTCTGTACCTAAAGAATCGGGAAGTGTAGGCTCTGGACTCATGGATCTCTGAAAGCAAAAAATAATCCACTTCTGATGAGGTTACGAGGTTCAATCAGTAGCTGAGGCTCCTCCTCTACAGGGTGTTCTCTCCCAGGCTCTTCCCCCGGCTAGTCTTCTCCTCCTCACGCCATTCTTTCTTTGGCCGCTCAGGGCAATGGCCTCAGACACAGCATTCGGTGTTTTCCAAGCACAAAGCCTGGAGAGAGGCTAGTTGAGCCTTTTCAACATGTTGAAGCACACATGTCTCTGGACATGACGACATCCTGAGACCTGTTGAGACCGGATTTTGGAGAGCGACGGTTCATGTCGTCTCCAGGTTTTGAGTCTGTGCTGTATCCAAATCTTCATGACCTGGTGGGCATCAACCGTCGCAACCATCATCCAGCTTTGGACGTGCCATGAATGGAACTTTTGGCTATGTTGGGCACGACTGGACAACAAAACGAATGCTTCAAGCGCTTTCAAAAGGACAGCATGCAAGTGCAGTTGGACAGGTCTAATGTGTGATCATTGCAAAACATGGTTCAGAGCTGTGCAAATAGAATGGAACTGTCTCAATGAAGCTGAATTGGGTCTGCAGTGAAATCCTACGTCCTATGTCAACAAAGAAAGGCATAGACCCCGAAAACAGTGGGCTTGCCACGATGTCCTCACATCCAAGTGGCTTTCCACGTAGCTCCATACGGCCCAAATCAACTTTACAAGCGAATCGGACCCCAACACCATCCAAAACCCCAGATCGAAGCGCATCGGTGTAACGCATGTCAGATCCAAACGTGCCTCTACCCGCAGGCGGTGCGGCACAGGATTTCCAAGTCCCTGGCGTGGTCTGTTAGGCTTGCCTGCCAGGGTGCAAAGATGGAACAACCGCACACCCAAAGCGCCTGTATCCTCCTAAAATCAAGCTTCAAGTACCGCGATCGCTGATCCACCGTGATGGGTGGGTCCCCTTGTTGAGGTACTCAACACCTTTGGAGCTTTCAAATCGTTTGAGTGCCCCAACAAGGCATTGAAGAGCGATGCAAGCGACTGCCTGTTGCCAGCTCATCATCCGAGAAGTTCGGCGCAGGAATCTCCAGCCATAGCTCTTGCTGCTCTGCCTGGCCCGCAGGATCAGCTTTCAGGCCCGTAGGACCGTAGGATTGGCCTAGTCTGGGGAGAAGAGGTTTCACCTGTGGCTATCTGTCGTTGTTCCATGTGTTTCTTGTGGTATAATGCTTTTGGCAAGGCTCCACTATGTTGCTTGAATATGAACCTCATGTCGACATCGCCGGCACCCAACTTCCAAAACAGTCCCTCTCTACAACAAGAAGTCAGAAGTGTCAACTGTGTCTAGCAATATCTAGGAATCAAACAAGTGGCTCTGAGCTGTGCATTTCCACAGGGTTCACACAAAGCTTCTTTTTGTACACCTCCAGAAGTGTGTAGTTTTTGTTGATGTGACTTCCACATATTTCCACCGTTCACCACAGCCACTCTCACCAAGCTTCTCTCAAAACGCCGAGGTTCCCGGCCGTGTCGAGGCTCGGTACTCGGGCACCGACTCCTATCGGGCAACGTTGGGAGGTCAATGTGACGTGCCAAAGTGTGACCAAAAGAACGTGACTTCACCATTGAGGAACAAGGGCATTACTACTAGCAAGAAGCTACTAGGGGCTCCTGGCCTTACTACTAACATCTACTAACACTATAGCATTCATAAGCATTCTGCACATGCAAACCCGGTGGAACGGGTTCCACCCACGGCCTGGGTCGCTCGGCGGGCCGCCGCCACGGAGCTGTTCCTTGGTCCGTCAGCAAAACACGGAAGCGTGGTCGATCCAATCCCTGGTTAGGGAGAAAAAGCGGTGTCAAAGAGGTTGTGTAAGAGGTATCGCTAAAGAAGGGCCGGCTATTGTTCAGATGCTTTTGGGGGATCATGGGCCAGCTGAAACGAAATCAACTCATGTGAAACCTGATTCGATGCCACCGGGACCGAACCATGAATTCACTGGCTGAGAGCCATGAGAGCCATATGCTCAGCTGACGGTTCAGAGATGTATGCCGGTATGGGACCTTCAAACCGCAAACAAGGTGACTCATCATCAGACACATGGTGCAATTCTTGCGAAGACTTGGGGATCTTCGGATCTTCCAATCGCGGAACTCGGAGGAAGAGTTTTCACTCGTTTTTCTCCGATGTTTCACTCCAGTCACTGGAAGCTGTTTCAGCTCGTCCGCTTTTTTAGCGCTCGCAGCTCGGAAGCGAGCGAGTCCGGGACTCCAACCGCGCCGGGACTCGGCCGTGCCGCCAAGGCACTTCAGCTTCGCTCTTGGCCCTCCGCAGCAGACGCGCCGCCTGGGACCGGAACCGGAGCCGGGAAAACAACGGAGCCTGGCGGCCTGGGCGGACAGGTCTTTGAGAGCCCCCCCTTTGGAATCGCAGGGTTGTGGCTTCAAAGTGAGGAAAGAACAGAATTTCTCATGCTCGTGATGATCGAGAACTGGTCCGAGACGTGTTCGTGATGGTCCAGTGAGTACTCGTACGTCGTACTTGGTCCCCATGTTTGAAGTTCGTCCAAGATGTCCAAGGGTCTAGCACGAAACCCGGTGAGGACCTACCAAGGGTCAAGCTGCGAACTTGCTTCAAGAACTGATCGCAGGCTGGAGGGCGTAGTAGGTGAGGCGGCTCGGAGTCAGGTCCGCGGACTCCGAGGAAACGTGTGGGATGAGCGTGCGTCCGCGTGTTCAAACGAAACAACCAAGCTGGGGCATCGATCGATCTCACCATGTGGCGACCAGATCTACGTCACAGGTTACATTGATCCCTTCTTTCTGAAGAAGCGGATGTTACATTAATTAGAATTGCTAGAGAAGGCCACACATTTTTGATGGCCCAAAGATCTCCCATGATTTCTCTTTGACCAAGCCAAAGGAGAAATGATTCATGCTGGGGGCCCTAAGCACGGCTTTGGGCCACATGAGAGAGCTACATCCAAGACCTCACATATTGGGCAATGGTGAAATCCGCACCAATTTTGCAGATATCCTTCCTCCCCCACACCAACTCGACAAAGGTCCGACAATCATGAACCATTGGACCATATTGGACCTCCCCATACATGGTCTTTGTATGTCTTTGTACATCTTTGGTACGCCCATCTCGGCTTCGTCCGGTCTCAACTTCCAGCAACGCTCGCCGCCTCTTTCGGCTCCAAAGAGAACATCTGCCGAGGGGTGCGGAAGGGCTCCGCCTTTCTCGCTTGATCAACAGGCCACGTGCACCACACGCCGCATGACATGCGACTCTCTGGCACTGACAAAATCTACCGAACATCCTCAAACGAAAAGAAAGGCGGGATCTTTATTGACAAAAAAAATGGCATCCGTTTGGTGCAAATTTGTCTCTGCTTGTTTTTCACGTCTTCAGAGTGGGAAAAAAGAAACTATATAATGACGATGAAAGAAATGTCTGACCACCCAAAAGAAAGAACAGAAGCAGCATGACCCCGCTGTAATGTGGTTCTGGTGATGGGATTTCTTCGCACCAATCTGACTATGTATATTATATATATACACATATAATGTACAAAAAAACAAGTCCATATAATTATATGATTTCATGGGAAGTTCCATGAAGGCAGTGTGGCTTCTACTCTTGAGAAGTGTCTAGAAGAGCAAGCTGCAGGTTGAGCCCGAAGGAGCTCAACATGATCTAACCCTAGATCAAGCAAGTGTTTTGGAAGCATTGTGTACATTGTTAGTTTTGGTGGATCCTGTTGAATCAACGGAGCGGAGCTGTGGATGCCACATCAGGACGGTCAACGGAAAAACGGACAAAAAACGCCTTACCGTGCCGCTTCGTTTGGCCCAATCCCTCTGCCCCACCGCTTCGGCCTGTACGCCCAAGGCCAAAGAAGCCAACCGCGGCACAAAGACTCGCTCCTGGGCAGCGACGCAAAGCATGGCTCAGGTCGGGTCGAGCCCCGACCTGGGCACCTCGGAGACAAGGGCCTCAAGCGCACAGTGAGAAACTCCATGGCCGCAAAGGGCCCAACTTGAATTGTTGTCTATGTTCATTGCCTGGGCAGCGACCCCTCTTGATTTGAAGTGTTCTAGGGAAGGGATCGTGGTTTAAAACCAAAGATGAACAGAACACTTGGGGTTCGTTCAATGACCCATCTTTACGATCACACCCATGCACGGTTTCCCTGGCTCCCCTGGCGAGATCGAGAGAGGAAACCCCCAAGACTCCACTCAATCCTCCACAGGATACCTCAAAAATCAATGTTCAGTACCTTGCCCCTGCAAAGGGGCCATCAGCAAGCCATTCTGACTAAAGCGTTGATCTTTTCAGGATCTCACTCTAAGAGTTAGCTAATTCCTTAAGCACCTGCTGTCTTTTTTCTCTTGAAGCTCCTATGACCCGATACGAGCTGAAATCTGCACCATGCCCCGGCGTGACGCATCAAAGCCCGCTCGGATGCCCGGGCGCAAAGCATCGCCCTTTTTCTTCCGTAGCAAACTTTGGCCACCGACCGACCCGTGAAAGCCCGGGCTTTTCGGAGGCAGATGTCGTTGGAGCCGCCGCATTGCCGACATCGGACACATCGGGTGGCGTACGTTCAACGTGCTCAGAGGAAGGTACCTGCATTGATTGGATGAAAAAAGAATAAGAAGAGATGATGGATGTGACACGCCAACTTTCAGGGAACTAAATGGTTTCAGCGCATGAACATCTTGTGTCTGTTTGCTGGAGCTCTTTCACCATCAAAGGATCGCCCCCGCCACCTTTTTTTGGGCTGTACGCCTACGAGTGACTCCAGAGATTGCCCCTCAAGGGCCCCACAGCCGAGTCCCGAGGTCTCCAGTAAGGGAGCCCGGACCAGACTTGCAACTTCACCGCTGGAGCAGTGCCGAGGCGCCGTAGGAGGTGGTTCGTTGTTGCGAAGGTGAGCAAGCAACTCAGTGACTGCTTGAATCTTGGACAACATGCCAATCACTTTGGGTACCGTAGTAAATCACCACCTGTCTCCAGCACTGCTCCCTTGGGAAAGTGCATCCCGCCTTCAGAAGAAAGACTCACTATTTTGTTGTGGACATAGGTCACAAAGATCATGTGCGTTTGCTTGTCCCCAAAACACCATGAGTTTTCCCCAAGCAGTACTTCTGCCAACCATTCCTTTCTGCGAGAGCTCTGGCAGCTGTGGGCTTGTAGCACCGAGGACGGCGCGTTTTCTAAATGTGAAGGTAGCACCAGCACAGTGGCGACGCGAGGTGTACGCGGTCGCAAGAGGCCAGGTGGACTGTTGAATTTCGGATGTCAAGGCATTGGCAAAAGTGTCTTGTTCCAACTCCAACCAAAAATATAAATAGAACTCTGACCTCATGTCCCGCGCAGTGGCAAAAACACGGTCGTCGCGCCCCACGGTTCCTGTGCCAGCGCGCGTGTCTCGCGCGACACCACGCGCGCTGGCACGAATGTGCTGGGCTCTTCGGAAGCTCCAAAAGTCAGGAGGTGACCGGATCCAAAGGCTGCCAAGTGGATTCTGTTACCAACTGGTCCAGTTAAAGTGACTAGAGATGAGGTCAGTAATTAGGTGAAGAAGGCCTGCAGAACTTGCAGCGGCAACGAAGATCCACTCGGACAGTGTAATTCTTCCTGTAAACGAAGCTCAAGGCCTCAGATATTTCTTCTGGTGACTTAGTGTTGGTGGGGGTTCAGTGTCTATCACTAGGTCTCCATGTCCTTCCTGCCGGGTCCTGTCCTTCCTCCGGACACAGCGCCGCAACACCTGGGATCACCTGAGCCTACCCATTGGGAAGGCTGCTGACAGCAACCTCATCGCTTGTAGATGTATGCCTTCATCCAATCCTCCAGATAGCCCGAACGTGCATAGACGTGGGATGAGAGGAGTGCAGAGGATGGCTGTGTCACCTTGATGTGTTGGCTGCTCGCTGGTGTCAGTTGTGGACCATGCTAATCAATCCCCAAAAGAAATGGACCAGTGACCAGGAGTTCTCGCTGGATTCGAAGGGATCAGATTGTTGCAGGACGCTCCATGAACTGTCTCCTAGAAGTAGGCGGGTCCCTCCACACAAAGATGTCTTGGGATGTGATATTGATGTGTATCTCTCAACCCGGAAGAGTGGAGAGACAAAGGAAACCCCCTCCCACCAGGATCTTCTTGAAATCTCGAATCCCATATATATATATATACCGTCCAAACACAAACCAGACATCAATCACGCATCTTCCAAACCTCAGAAAAATCGACCTTTAAATTAAAAGAATAAACAGTAAACATGAAAAAAAGAGAACAGAAACGGCTAAACCCGACTGATCCCCCACACGATCCGGACACCCCAAACCCCCCCCAAACCCGATCCTCACCGACCCGGCCGAGCCGGTCCTCCTCTTCCTCCTCGCCCCATGGGTCGATCGCCGCATCCTGCCCCCGTCCTCCTGGAAGCGACAAACACACTCATCCGGTGTGAAGTTCTGCGCCGATCTTCGACGGAACTTCCAGAAGATCGGCTTGGGCGTGGATCGGCGGGTGTGTTGAAGTAAAGAGAGCCAAATCAAGCAGTTCTTGGATCTTGGAGATGACCATATTGACCTTCCTCTGTGGTGGTGGGTGCTCCGAGGTTCCATACTCACCAGGTGCTGTACCACAAATCCCCCCCCTGTCTTGACGCATGAAGAGAAAATGCACGGTGGTCGGCGCGTTGATCTCAAGTGCAGTGAAGTGACCATACATGCTCAATACCAAGCTCCCTACCAGCTGAATCTTCCTTCTTCAAGTATCTATCATGATAGGCAGGTTAGCTTGATGGGTAGGAATTGATAGGATAAGCTCCCAACAAGTCGGCACTCGTGGCGGGACATGTCCTGTGTGTCATGGGACTTACTTTTGAGGCAAAGGACAAGTGGGTCTGTATCAAAATAAGGAGCCCAGCCCGGGATCTTTGGATAGGTGGTATGATTCGGTTGTATGATCCCTTGTTTACTGAAGAGTAGTGACTTAGTAACCTCAAAGAAATACGTACCCAAGTCATTTCAAGGTGATTTCCCTGTTCTGGGATGGGAAATCTGGAGGTTGATCCTATCACAAGACGGCACCAGCCCACAACACGCGCTCCCACACATGTTCGGCCTGCTGGTTGATTCTGTGCCTTCCACATCAGATTGTCAATGTAGTCCTTAGCACCTCAGTGTCAGTCAGAGATGGGAGATCCGAATTGGTCAGTCCAAGGAACGCTTGCCTTCCCCAAGCCCACACCTTCCCCATTCAAGCAGTCAAGAAAGCCACCTTCCAATGCCAGCTGTTGTGCTCCCAAGTAGATCTACCAGTTGCATCCAGTTGCATAAGCGCGCTTCAGTAAGCACGACCCCCTCACCTCACCCAGGTGTCCTCCGTTTCGTTACTGGGTTCCCCGAACGTGAGACGTCTCCCACGCCGCCCACAATCACCACGTTCTGGCACTCCGAGTGCGGTCGTGGGATGTTCACCTTCACCTGGCCGAGCGAGAACCCGACGGTCACGAATCCGTCTTTACCTCAGTCAGGTCTTGAAAGAGGGTATTCTTACTTGTTACTACTAGCTTCTTGTTACTACTAGTAAGGCACCTGTTACTACTAGCGTGGCACTTGTTACTACTCTGCGGACGTCTAAAGGAACGAGTCTTTTGGAACTGCGGAGGGCTCGAGCTACGGTCGTACGGCCAGTCGGGTGGCTGGCTGCACGTTCAGCGCCTTCGCGGGAAGCTTCGCTTCGCTTCGCGACCTCCCACGATCGGCACCTTGTAGTTGTTCTGGATGTGGCGGAGCTCAGAGCCGGCTTTGCCGATCAAAAACCTGGTCCAACGGTCAATCCGCAGGGAAAACCATTCTGCAAGATTCACTTCAAACCTTGCAGTGCTCCTCTATCACAGAAACATTCATCTGAAAGCACGTTGATGCTTGTGGGGTGTTCCTTTTGGCCCAAAGCTGCAAGACTCCAGCAAACAAGAACCTTCCCCCAGCCACCATGGTCATTTCGATCACCTGTGTTTAATCCTGGAGGACCTGATCTGTTCACCCAAAAACGACCCCATCCGATCACTCCAAGTGGCTTATAGGCCCACTCCTCCACTTCCATCTCTTCGTGCGTCTGGCGAAGCTGAGAAACATCTGCTTGCTAGATGGTTCTGGAACAGGATCATCCAGGTGCATTTCAGGAAGTTGATTCTACCAAGCTCGGAGAAGAAAGAAGAGCCAGGTTTGATGTGTGATCAATGATCTTGAAGGGAACCTCCTGCACGAGTAGCGAGTGCATCTGACCCCCAAAAAAAACAAACCATGGGCTCTGGGCTGTCTTTTTGTTCAGGCTACTCCCAGTTGTTCCATCGGAACGGTCGGTAATTAGAGTCCAGGTCAGTTCCTTCATGGTCCTTCTCCCCACAAGGTCAGTTCGTCTCCCGCCTGGTCGGGATGTGTGACCTCGTGGTGGCCATACTTCATGATGCTTGTGAGCACCTGACGAGCGAGAGAATCGAACAAAATACCACCGCGGAAAAAAACGATTGGAGACCATCATTCTTCCAAAGATGGCGAGATGGCCGGGAAATGTGTCTGACGAAATGACGATCACATAAACCAAGAGGATGGCAGAAAACCCAAAGCCTGAAGATAGCCAGTACAGTGAAGTTCATCAATGGCGAGGTTGGGGGCAGGCACACACCGGGCAGCATTCCGCCAACCCGCACATGTGGCGTAGATGAAAAGTGAGAAGATCGTAGAAGCGTCCTTGCTCCTAGTAGCGATGCCAGGAGCCCCTAATAGAAGATCAAGATCGTCCATAAGAGGTGGATGGCCCATGTGCCCCCTATGCTACCTTCTGAGTTCCACGAGTGAGATCGGGTGATTGTCCTACACAACCCTGGTCTTCAGAATGAGGACAAAA